CCCCCCCCCACCCCCCAACACAGACACACGCACGCACGCACACACACACTTTCATGCTCAACTGGTAGAAGAAACTTTCGGTCACCTCATCACATGACCCACTACAAGAGGCAGCGTTCACATTTCAATCAAAAGCTAGACTGAACAATGTACCTTGGATCCCTGTTCGGCAAAGAAAGGCTGGCCCTTCCCGGATAATGGGGTGGAAGTTGCTGAATGTGGAGAGGACAGGTCGCTAAGCTGGAAAAGAGGGATGTATTTCAGGGACACGAACTGCTTCTTGCTAGTAGAAGTCATCACTCTCCGTTAGTTCAATGTAAGCAAAGACTACTCAGCAATTGTCTTTAGCGGGCAGCAAGCATGCAAGTCCAACAGTCACCCAAGGAACAGCCCCATTTAATATTAACCTTCATGTTAAGATGCTACACATTCCCATGTGCAAAGCGGTTTATATATGGCTGGGAATCTTAAGCCCATTGTTGAAAGGCAAAGGCCATCAACGTTCAGAGGAAAGCCGTACCTTTATAAGCTCCGCTGGTCTAAACTTAGGATCCTCCTGTCCTATTCCCAGGAGACCTCCTGTAAAGGGTTGACTAATCCAGGTTTTCAAAAACAGGCTACTCTATTTATGTCCTTAGGAGAATTCACTCACGACACATGAGACACACATATTTTAAAAAGGACTCACGCGAAGCAAAATTACCCCGTCTATTCCTGATGGGGCATTTCTCTTCTGCCACCCCTCCCTCTCTACACACAGCAAAGGTGTTGAAGTCAGATGCAGCTCTTTACCTGGATAGGACTGACTGGAGGTGGTGGTGGGGCTTTGCGTTTTTTTGGAGTTCCACTTCTTTCTGAACTTAACCTAGAGACTTGATCATGCTGGAAGGTTTGTAGGCCAGAAAAGGGAGGTCTGTTAGTTTGTTAGTAAGGCCTGTGTTAAAAGTTATATAGATACATCTTTAAGGTACAAGAAAGTGACAAAATCATCCATGCCTTATCTTTGGAATTGCTGTGCAGGACAATTACACACGTGTAACTAGGAACTCATCTGACCTCCTTTTGCCATTCATGCTCCAGGACATTAGATCTAGTGCAAATACTTAACTAAGCACACCCTTTCCGACTAAAGTGGGCTCCATCACCCTGCTCCTTGCAGCCTCAAGCAGCTGGTTAATCTTCCTGTCACTAGTGACTACCCCCTACTGTCAAAAGCTATGAGCAGAGAGAGAAGAAATCCTTGGAACATCAACTACACCGGAAATCTTAACTGGGGCAAACTTTAGAATTTCAATGTAACAACTTGGATCCTTAGCAGAATTTCTCCCATCAGAGACTAATCAATTAAAAGCCACAGGTCCGGTCACTGGAAAGGTTTAGTTTTTCAGCTCTTATCAAGATTTTGGTCTTCTCAATAGGCAACATGCAGGAATCACCCAGCTTGGGGACTAGATAGAGCACTACATTTTAGACATGGGGCCCAAAGCAGATTGATGAAAACAAAATGCATATGGTTTCCTCATTTCCCAGAATTCTGGTTATTTACTTAGTCACATGAGCGGTTATGTGTTCAAATGCTCAATCTGGGGTGCTCAACAAACAACACAGGGGAAGGAAGGATCTATAATGTGGGAGTTTTATGACTGACACATCTTGTTATTCCTGCTTTTTATAAAGGTTTAACAATGCCTGTGCGTATTGGTTGGCAGCCAAATCAGGATAGGACTATAGTAGATGAGGAAAGTGTGGCACTTCCTTTCACAACTGCTTGGGGGATGGAGAACTTTTGGCCTGCCAGATATTTTGGCTTACACCACCCATCTACCCCCATCCACAAGACCGCTGCTAAAGGTTAATCAAAGTCCTACAAGAGGAAATGCAGTCAAAACATTCAGACCAGTGGTTTGCCACTAGTGGTGCACATATCTCATGTGGGACACCAAAGCACTCTGGGTGGGACACTGGATTTTCATAACAATATTAAGAATTCTGTTTCCTCCCAGTCCTCATATCCTCTCCGCAGTCTGAGGTTACTTTCTCCTTCCCACCTGACCTGTCATAGCTTATCCATTTGTGGTCTTTCAGCATATCAGCAGTAACTTTGGACACTAACTATTTCTTCGTACCCAGTTCCTATGTCCACCGATTTACAGCAAATAATACATGTAGTAACAGAATGCTTGTAAATCAGAGATGGGCCACATGTGGCTCATGGGGAGAAAGAGGAATCCTATATCCATTCCTGGTAACAACCACCATCTAACAGGCACTAGAAGATGATACAAGAGCTTAATAAACCTACAAATACCTCTGAATTCTGACAACCTATAAGTGGTTCTTTCCTATCCTGATTATTTTAATTCCTGAGCATTTCTCCCCTCCCCCTGAAAAAGCATAATGCTAATTATCATTAAATAATTAAACAGAATTATTTTTTACCTTCTTTGGCTTGGTTGGTGACTTGGGATCTGGTGGAGAGAAAGAGAACTGTGAATTTTATGTTTACCGTGGTCTTTTGAGACTGAAGGATGCCTAACTCTAACTCTAAATATATATTTTGTATTATGACAGACAAACAAACAGCACATACAAAACATACACACCAGAAGTGTTCACCATAGTACAATATCTAATATATAATCTTGACTCCATAACTGTGTTACAATACTAAACTCTTTAACCTATGTTATATTCTCTACTCATGTTTGTTTCTGGGCTCAATCATAAAACCTTTTCCCCGTTTTCTTTAACATATCTTCTCAGATTCTCAGATAATGCGTCTAACAAGCTATCCCATTTTGAGCCCGGGTCAACCTTATAACTTTAAATATTTGCAACATATGTTTGCTATATGTATATGTCTTTTAAATCAACACTTTCTGATATTACATTCATCAAGAGCATTTCTAGTTTAAAGGTTATATATACTTGTGTGATTTCTTATATAATATCTTTTTTCATCTGTCTCCAAAATCGTTTTACTCTGTCACTTATCCACCATCTATACAAAAGAGAGTCTGAAGTGGCTGACAATATTTTTAACTTGAATTTCTAATCTCTAACACCCTTTTTGCCAGTTTTGAAGTGCCATCTATAGAACATCTTTAAAACATTTTATCTCAAGTTTACTGATTTAATCAGTCTATAATTATCATTCAAATCCAATCATATACGTCTAAATTATAGCCAAAATTTTGTACCACTTCCATCATCACTGCTTTCACCCTTTCCTTCTCTGAACTCTCTTCTAACGAACAAATATACATTTTTTGAATAATCTTCTCATTCGTTTAAATCCACAGCTCATCCACCTGGCCCTTCCTCTGATAAAAGCCCATTATTTTATCTTTCTTCAGTCTTGATTTTAAAGTCTCTTTTTCTGCTGCTCCCGCTGCTTTGGTGCAATGGTCTTCCTTCTGAATATTCCGTTCCACGTCCTCTTTAAATCCTCAAGTTACCGCCTTAATTTCTAGATGTTGGACATTAATCTAATTCGTAAGATGATTGATAATGTTCATTTGGAACTCCCATATATAGTTCTTAAAATAATCTTGCATTATTAATTTTGATGGACTTGCACATTGACTAAAGGCTGCCATTTCTGTTTCTTGGGTATAGATTTATTGTGAGGAGGAGGAGGAGGGAAGGTGTTAGGGTCGCGTCCTCGTTACCCCACTGAATAATACCAAGCCTAATTCATTGTGGGGATCGAATTTAACTTTTTTTTGCTTGACAAAGCATTAGATAGAACATTATCCAACATTAGAAACAAATAAATGACTACCTGTGATGTGAGAGGAAGAGGCATCCTTGTTCTCTCTTTGAGTGGTGCGTGTTATGGCCTCATCCATCTCTTGTTCAGAAATCTGATTTAAAATTTTAAAAAATAAAATATATTATTTGGCTGTAAGGAATAAAAGATGTCCAGGATCAGAACTAATGGATTAATGTAGCAGGTTTTCCCGAAATTAGGACAGGGTCTTATATAATTTTTTTTCTCCAAAAATACATTAGGGCTTATTTTCAGGGGATGTTTTATTTTTTTTTCATGTACAGCACTCTACATTTATCCAAATACATTCATGTTCAGATTTGCAAGGCCCAGGCTGTTGTGAGCTGAAAAGGCAAGAACTCATAACCAGGATGTAAGATACAGATTGAAATTCTACTCAAAATCAATAACTGCATCAATCACACTGATTTGAATGGGGTTATTCAACAACGTGCTTGCAGAAAATATTTTGAACTTTGAACTGGCACTTTAAGTAACCAGGCTAAGTTCAGAGCTTGGATGGAAAAGTTACCCTTTTGGATGTTAACTCCCAGAATTCCACAGATTTAAGAAATCACTAATTCAAGAAATTCTGCACTATTCCATACCTTTGGATTTGGATGGCGACTAATGATCAAACTAATTGGGCCTGCACCACGTTGACTCAAAATGGCATAAGCTTCACACAGGGCTGCATGATGTAAATTGACTGAATCTATCTCGAGGATCTGGTCACCACGGCTAAGGAAACAGAGACAAACTGTTTAACATGCCTGTTGTATACTGAGCTAACATTTCAGATTAGGATTTCTACAGGGTAGGAAAATATAGTACAACAAAGCAGAGAAGTTACTGCTTTGTTCTACAGCAGATGTAAGGTCTACACAGTACAGACACTCTTCTTGAATGCTGCGATCGTGCAATTTTAAGCACATTTTGGCACTTTCTGGTCCAAGATTTAGCCGAAGAAAACAATCAGTTAGGTGACTGATACCATTTCTGTTCCACTTACGAACAAATACAAAACTCCATCCAATTCTTTTCTACATTTTCATGTTTTGTTTTTAAAATCCAAACAAACATTCATCAACATTTTGAATGGAGTTTACAGCAAAACACACACATTTATATAGATTCTTGTAAGCCAAAACCCTTCACCACAAAATTAGAGAGGTGTGACAGCAGACAAATAACTACATTCCTAAAAGGGAGAATTAGATGAGTTTGGTTCCCAAATGTGGCCCAAACAAAATTCTTGAGCAACCCCACAAACTGATCCCTGCATGCAGTGCCTTGACCTGCTAATGTCGGTGGTTTTAGACAGAAATCGGAGATAGAGGAGTACTGGAAAACGAACAGATATCGAAATAGTGAAGATAATGACAAAGCAGACAGGGACTCAGAGAAGCCTGTTCAGAATTAACACAGGAGAAAAGGGTCAAGTATGTGCACTAGATATGGAAAACGTTCCTCCTTATTTAACACGTGTCTTCTCGATGAGAGAAGTGAATATCTCTATCTTCCCACATGGCTCCTTCCTATCAAATTTGCCATGCATCTTTAAGAATCAGCAGATGATAATTCAAGACAGGAGGGGTCACAACAAAGAAAGGAGAGTTGCAATGAGAATTTCTGCGTTTCACACCCATTCCCAGAGCCCCTTACAGTTTGAGTCCATCTGGAATTGTACTCTTTTGCCTTCACTACCACCCCTTCCCCGGCCATTTGGAAGCCTTTCCTATCCCTCTTTCTTTTTCTCTCAAGGATTGCCCTTAGCCTGCACCTACTATCATGCTCATGTACATATTCTACACACCATAGCTTGGCTCATCATGGCAATGCAACGCATTAGAACTCTCATTTTGTGCACGCTTGTAACTCTCTCTGTAGCTTAACAGAGGTCCTACTGTGAAGTGCTTCCCACCATTTTTACATATGTTTTGAAAACTAAAACTGGAACATGGCAGAGGGAGGGCAGGGAGACCTCTCTGAGGTACTTTGGGGCTTGTGATAACAGAGAACAATTTTTGTTCAGCTGTGTAGAGACACTGCATTGAAGAAGGACAGATACAGAGAGTATACTAGGAGAGGAAAAAGGAACATAGAACAGTGTTATGTACACATTTCCGGACCAACCTTAACCTGCCGTCCATCTTGGCTACAGATCCTGGTGCCAGGCTGTGAATATATATCCCTGGAAGGCTGTTCTCCAGGGCAAGATGGCAAACACCAATACCCAGACCAACTCCTGGCTCTGTGAGGACATGAAGAGCAAAGACAGGAAACATTTTAATCCACACTTCATTCCAGTAATGGCAAGAAGCACAAGAACTTATCAAGGGTTGTTTTCTATGGGCAGCTGAGAGAAAAGAAAAACTAAACCCTTGACAGGATTCAAACTAAACATGGGTTTTGAGTTGGACTGGCAAACTAGGGCTATAACAGGGGGATTCAATTTATGAACCGCTTGTCTTGTCAGAGGAGACAACTTCAATGGAAAAAACCAGAGAATCCAACAAGCCGGACATAATATTTTTCTGCTCACTCGCCTCACTGCTGAAGCTTCTGGATGATGACTGCTAGAGGGCCTAAGCAACTAGGCAACTCTGCCCCATTATCTCTTCCTGGAGGCTGGTTGCTGCTGCCCCCCCCCCTTAACCTGGCTTTGCCTCTTTTTGACTCAGCAGAATGAGCCCACATATAAAGCTTAGATGTGATTTTTTTTAAAAAAACAGAGTTCTCAAACAGCTTAACAACAATTAAAACATTATTTTTTTAAAAAATTAGAACCTTAAAGAGGCCCGTGGAGGTGAGGACAAAGAGGTGTTTTTATTATGTATTCTACTTTGTATAACTTATTTTGACCATACTTTTGAACACTGACTGCCTTGATAATTGTAAGGAGTAAGGGACGTTTAAAACATGTTAACAAGTGAAAACTAAAAAAGAGAGTAAGGGACAGCTTCAAAAATGTAATCTTGGAATACAAAAGTAAATTTACTATCCCAAAAACAAAATAAATTAAAAAAATTTAAAAAATATTCCACACAGGATTGATGCTTAATTCCTCTGGGTGTGTAGGAGGGAGCCTAAATCAGGTATTTATCTCAGTTCCCTGTAACAAACCCTGTCCTTTTCTGCCTCCCTTGGCTCTTTCACAGACAACATTTGCTTTTTCATGGTTTCTGTAGTGCAGGACATGTCAATCAATACAGATGATCCAGTGGAGCAGCTGTGTGAAGAAGTCCTTATCTGCCTGCCTAAATCTCCCAGCTCTTTCATGGCTTCTCACAGAGTAACACTGGCCATGGTCATTTTACATGACCTGATTCCCACAGTCATTCCCAGGCTAAAAGCTACTCCTCACACTGAGGTCTGGTGTCCCACATAGAGCAAATTGCATATACCCCAATCTGAACTTCTGTAACTACACAGAAAGAGCTTTCAGCGAAATTCTACATGGGCAGAGTTCTTTGAGCATCATCAGCCTTATTCTGACTACCTTGATACATGGTACTGAAACAAGGACTTAGCATCAGTTGTGACTGTTCTGATAGAGGAGGTAGTGAGAACTGATCTTTCATGGAGAGTTAAGAGGTTTCTAGTCATCTATAGAAATAAAATGTTCAGGATACATTTGGCAAAACCATAAAACTGATTTAAAGCCAACTTGTTTTCAGAGCACGAGTTCTTGCACACCGTACATATACAACACCACACATTTATTTATTTTTTCCTAAGGAGGAAAACAGACTTTCCTCTTTCCTCTATAGAATCTTCTAAAACCTCGTCATGAAATTTTATGAGTTTTCCTACAAAGTTTCTTTGAATCTACACAAGGCGCTTTTTGGGGCATGGTTATCTTAGCAAGGTGAAAAGTAGCCGTGTTTTCTCAAACCTTTATTGAGTGTCACTTTCATGACAATTCTGTCCTTCGGTCCAGGCCCCTTTCGACCGGAGGAAGGACCACATCCATCTTCACCACTGGATAAACGAGATCCTCCACCAGGAGTTGATGTTAGGGAAGTGGATTGCTTCAGCCACAGAGAATCTGGGCACGGGGTGAGGCTTTGGCTTTGGAGTCTTGTCCCTACTGTTAGAGTGACCACCCCTTTCTTGAGTTGCTAAAGAAGCAAGAGGAGTTTGTTATGTTCATGAATATTCTTCTCCTAATAACATTTCTCACAATGTTTAAATGGATGAGTAAATATTACTAGCTGCGGCAAGGGAACAAGGTTTCTTATTTAAATGCAGCTGCCTTGCAGTGGAAAAAATAATTCAGTCATGCATAAGGATGATTTTTTTTTTGGACTTATATACCGCCCCATAGCGCTTCAAGCACTCTTAAATGCAGCTGCCTTGCAGTGGAAAAAAATAATAATTCAGTCATGCATAAGGATGATTTTTTTTTTGGACTTATATACCGCCCCATAGCGCTTCAAGCACTCTCTGGGTGGTTTACAATTTTAATTATACAGGCTACACATTGACCCCCCCAGCAAGCTGGGTACTCATTTTACCAACCTCGGAAGGACGGAAGGCTGAGTCAACCTTGAGCCGGCTACCTGGGATTTGAACCCCAGGTCGTGAGCACAGTTTTAGCTGCAATACAGCGTTTTAACCACTGCGCCACGAGGCTCACATAAATCAAACTACAATTGTGATTTCACTACCCTAGGGCATATCTCCCAAAAACATGAAAACTCAGGAAGGGACTTCAAAAGTGAGACCAACTGATCATCTATATCGGGGGTCTCCAAACTTTTAAGCGGAAGGGCCATATCGTATATGCTCCACAGTTTTGAGGGCTGAAGGAAGACACGTGTGCATGTGTACTCCTGCCTGCCCACCCACCTACCTGCATTCTGGCACGCCTGCCCACCCGTAAGTCTGCCCACCTGCTGGCCCACCTGCTTACACTCCTGCCCACCTGCACTCCTGCCCGCCCACATGTGCACACCTACCCACCCACCAGGCCACATAAAAAGGCAAAGCAGGCCAGAAGTGGCCCACAGGCCATATTTTGGAGACCCCTGCTCTATATGGTGCTGTTTTAAAGCTGTGCAATGCAAAATGAATGATTTTGATTCCACAAAGTCATGACAATTTGGAACATATACAACAAGTCACAGTGGACATGAGGCAGTTACAGTTGTATATGAGCTCGTATTGAGTTCTCTCTAGAACCATGGGAAGTCCTGTCTACAAATTCTCGTACTTTAAATGTTTGAATGGCCTCCTGATGGGTCAGCCCTTGCAGAGATTGTCCATTAACTGCCAGGAGTTCATCACCTGGAAAATAAAAACATCACTCACATCAGCAATAGGACGGGGACAAAGTGTTCTTAGAAATATCAATAACCCTAGGAGTTCTCAAATTCCTGATTTATTCTCTATTAGATTTATAGCTCTTATTATGTTCCCTTATTCCATATTTGTTAGGAAAGTAAGCTTAAGTCAAAAGTGTGACTTTTAATCTGGGTTTAATCTTCTCCAACACAGTATTTAGCTACTGAGATTGGCTGTGGATGATGAGAGTCATACAGTAGTTCAGCCAAAGGGCACCAGGTTGGGGAAGCTTTTGATAGATCATATACAACTAAACAATCACCCACCAAAATGGTTCAACATTCAAAAGGCATCATAGAAAAAGTCAAATATGAGTTCCTAATGAAGATTACTATAAGCATGTGCAAGGTCAGCATCTGACCATTTCACGGTTATATGTTTGCGAGTTATTTCCTGTACTATTTCGTAAGTGCTTTTTTATACACTGAAGCAATGTGCAACACATTTTTAAGGAATGCAATGTTCATTCTTTGCTGTTTATTAAAAGTGCATCCTATTTTCTGCACAGAAATGCTTCAGGAGTAGGAAAAGGTTAATTTAGCAATCATCCTTGATGTTTATGACCACAGACTACAACTCCCAGAATACTTCATCCAGCATAGCCAGTATGGATGCTGGCTAGTATAGCCCAAAAAATAAACATACCCACCTCTAATCTGAACCTGATAATACAGGAAGATAAGCAGTTTAGCTTATGCACATCCTTGATCCTATTGGCTTTCTCAATATGTCTGAAAACTAGTTATTTTACCTCACACTCAAATTACTTCACAAAAGTCCCACTTCAGAAGTTTCTCCCTCATCCTTCCTTCACTCCAGAAAGACAGCAGGGGAAGAAGAAGAAAAAAGGCCTTATCCCATTGTGGTCCCACTAGACCAGCTTTGCACAACTCAACGCCTGCCACCATGATCTTTCCTTTACTTCTAGACAAGATTTTGCCACAGCTTTCCTCCCTCCCGGTGACAGGCTTGCAGAATTGGGATCTTTGTTATACCTTCTTTTAATCTCCCATCAGCTGCTGCAGCTCCATTTGCAAAAATTGTCTTGACAAAAATGCCCATATGTCCTTGGGCAGAATCTTGCCCTCCTGCAATGGTGAATCGGAGGCCCTGTAGTATATGCAGGGAAAGGGAAAAAGGACCGACAAATGGGATGAATAGGTTACAATGGTGCCACCTCTCCTTCCTGAAGGGTCATCACACGAACACTGAAGCTACTCCCGGGGCAGTGAAACTATTTTAACACCCATTTGTTCAACGCCAGAAAGGTGTGTGGCCACTTTAAGGCAATCAGGATGCTGAAGAACCCGTCCACTCACAGGCCCTGTGTGTGGAATCTGCTGCACCCGCACATACACCCCTTTGCCATTAGTTAAAGCTAAAGGATTTGGACTCCCAGAGAAGGAAGCAAGGTACACAATAGCCAGGTAAAAGGAGGATATACTTTTCCAGAGAAATGTCGGGAGTCAAAAGGATACAGAAACTTCAAAGTTAGAGCGCTACATGATTCTTCTCCAGTAATACCTGGGTTAGCATGACCTCTACACAGCACTTTTTTGTTACAAAACCCCCTGCGGTCATTTTTTGGCATTCAGAATTGATCCTTCAGAAATTCTATCATTTATGGGGTTTTTAATGTTGAATTAAACTTTTTTGTTCCCCTCCTCCCCAAGTATGTATGTTTTCCCCCCTCTGGTTCTAGTTTCATTTTATCTAATAAAAATGATTTTGAAAAAAGAAATGAGTTCAACCTGGCAGCCATTTTGTGGCCCTTCGAAGTGCCAAGCGTTCCAATATCCAGGCACCGTGTTCCTGTTGCTTCTCTGTGAACATATCCACAGCTCTAAGTGAGGTCTATCTAAGCTGCCATGATGATCCATTTAGCCTATGGGGGAGCAAATTAAGGTCTGCAGGTCACAGGCAGCCCCCTAAAGAGTGTCATGCCTCCAAGGCTACCTGGGCTTTTAGCGGTATGAGAGAGTGTACCTCCCTTTCCAAACAGGTTGAACAACTGCACACAATCTCTTGTTCTCATCAAGATTCATGGTAGCAATTGTCATTCTTATACTGCTTTTCTACATCAACCATGTTTTTAATTCTATACTAGAGGTGAGCAAAGTGTAGCCCTTCAGATGCTGTAGGACCGCAAATCCAACATTCCTCATGGAGGACTCTGATGGGAGTTGCAGTCCAAGAACGTCTAGAAAGCCACACTTTGTCTATCCCTGTTGTAGAAATCCACGCTTCCCTTGACATCAGGGGCAACCCAAATGCAGTCTATTCACTGCACTGGGCCATTTTTGTGTTCCCCAAGAGCCTTTGTTTAGGAAAAAGAAGACGTTTGGCGCAGTCTCCAACAATAGTCAGTTTCTCCTGGAACTCCACAGGATAAGTATTCCTCGCATGGTGGGACTTCAGAGAAGTTCTCTAAAGGCCCACCAAATAAAAAAACAAACGAACCAGAAATGCTCCTCTGGATGTTTGCTTCTTTTACAACTTAAAAATGGCCAAAATCAGGCACTTCCTGTTTCTTGCAATCCATAGAGAAGACTAGGGGTCCAACCAAGCCTCTTGAGATTGCTCAGACTGCTTTATGTGCATGCACACACAAAAAACTGTATGTTCTTATGTACAGGTTCTTACCTTGCTCTGCCCCTTCATCAGGACAATGTTGGAAATGACAGACGGCTGGGTGAGCTGCCGTGGGTATTCCACCTGAGCTGCGCTTGAGGATCCCTCTGCAGTGGATGGATCTGGAGATTTCTGTGGCTCTCTATCATCCGTCACCTGAAGAAGAGAGAAAAGGGAAACATTTAACAAGCCACCCAAATTGTGGAGACTGTCTTCAATGCCACAGCTGGATTAACCATTATTGCAAGAACGCTGCAAACCAGGACCTCGGGCAATGTGGGATTCTTGCCCTGGTACAATTATGCAGAGGTTTCGACCTGTGGAAAGTCTCCTGCCTGCCTTTCTCTTTGCATCGCAATTCGGACTATAGGAACACAGTACAAAATGACAAAAGCAGCTGTGTTCCCAGAAGAGAACATTATAAATACTGGGAGCTTCATCAGCCAGAGGAAAGGTACATTTCTCTTCACCTCAGATGTTAGGGTCATGCTAAGGTGAGGTAATAAGCAATAATCAAAATTGTTAGTACGGGAACATTTGGCTGTTATTTAACAGATCACCCTCTACATGCGGTGAAGGAGGCAAAATGGTGACCATTTAATCCCAGTGCTTAACTTCATCTCATGGAAGAATTTATAAATCACATTATGGTTATATCTCCCAATATTTCCTCTGGCTTTAGTTCATTCACAGGCTCTTCATAAGTTGCATAGCTATTATATCAGAGGTGGCTAATCTATCGTCCTCCACATGTCTGTGAACTCCAACTTCCATCTGACTCCTCAGCCCAGACAACCGCATGGGGGCTATCACTGCACAAGGTCTGGACAGGCACAGGCTGCCCCTTCTACCTTATGCACCTGTCACGGAGTTCTTCTGGACCCGGGGGGGGGCACTGGTGGTGAAGGCGGGAAAAAGACACGGAGGCTCTTCGTAATTCTCAACATAACCGCGTTTATTAACAATTGAACTCAACGCGTCTGAATCAAAAGGGTCTTGCAAACATTCTTCTGGCAACAAACGATATTTCTTGGGGGGCACACTTAACGGATTCTCAAAACCTTCTAGTAAGGTGCCGGTCCGAACCGCTCCCGATCTGTCATGGGACGGAGGGGGGCACTCCGCACTGCGCATACCGTGCCACAGCACGGGTGCCTCACCCAATCTCCCTCGGGGGGCTTCTGTTGAAATTCTGGCCCAGGTCTGATTACTCTCCTCCCACCAGGGATGGTTCCGTGGATGGACCGTTACAGTCCATTCTAAAGGCCCGTACTTAGCTCCTCTCCCTCCAGGAAAAATAGGATCCGGGAGCAGACCTCCTCCTGTCACTAAGTTTGGAAAACCCGCGGTATCTCCAGACGCTGTCCCCAATCCGAGCATGGGCTCCGTCTGCACCCCTCGGTTCACCAGTCTCACCGGGTTCGTATCTGTCCAAACATTAAAGACTTTTTTCCTCCTTTATCTCCTCCCACAGTATAAGGTCCAACTCCTTCCCCCCCCCTCGTCAGCAAGACACACCTCTGCAGATCTCTTCTCTACTACATCAGCCTGTTCTATCTGAATCAATACCCCTTCTATACATCCTTTCTCTTCTGTGGTAGTTTCCTTTGTGGAGGACGGCGCACTCCTTGTCTCTCCTTCACAGCACCTGACCCCTCATTTTATATATCCTACATCATTAATTGCCTGTAAATATTCATAGTGAGAAGCAGGCTGTGGAGCCTGGAGAGGAGATGAACCTGGGAGTAAGTCTGAAAGCCCTGGATGTTGTAACATTTCCTCTCTAAAGAATTACTGTACTGCCCGTTTCTCCAGCATTGCAATGGGGTGTCACATATTCCCATGCTGCTCCAACACACACAGTTCTTCTTAGTCTAAGACCAGGGGCACCGCTCAACCATGGACATCTCAATACAGTCTCCTTTTGGCTCCGGGCGATGGGCTGATGTAACTGACCTGGGCCTGAAAGATAGAGAGGACTGGGAGCCACTCGGATGCTTCACTCCACCACTCCATCCTGCCTGCTCCTCCTCCCTTCGGTCTCCTTCCCCCAGGATTCTCCAACCTTCTCCTATGGTCTCCCCAGCTGATCTGATCTCCTCTTGACTCCTGCCATTGCTCTCAGAAAACTACTTCAAACAACTCACAACGGGGGTTCCTCCTGCCAGCCCCACCCCTGAAATAGTCTACAAACTTTCTGAAAGATTGGTTTGTTACACTTGACCTTCCTGAAGCAGCAGAAAGAGCATCTTTCTAGAAAAGCCATTGTAAGCAAGAGAGCCCAAAAGACGCTGCGACTCTCCTCCAAACAGTCTCAGCCTTTCTGCTACACACAGGGTTCCATGGCAGTTTAACCAGAAGATCTGTGTATTCGTTCAAACCTGGACAGAATTCCGTGTTGCCTGAGTTCCTGCTGTGCCATCGGAAGGCATGGGTCATCGCACAATTATATAGATATATTAGGTCTGGTAGTGAGTCAGGTTTTTGTGTATTTCACCAGGATTTATTCCATTTTATTTTTAAACAATAATGCTTTGGAGGAATACAAACAATGGAGAACACATTTTTACTGCTGTTGTTGTTTGATTATTATGTATTTGTCTATGTTTTATTATTTGATTTTATATTTGGAAGCCGCCTAGAGTGGTCCGGTGGGCCAGATGGGCGGGGTATAAATTAAATAAATAAATAAATAGTTGCCCAGGCTCTTGTGAAGAAGAGTCAGATATAAGCATCAATCAAACAAACACATGAACCATATGTTTGCTTCTGGTGTACTCTGGGAACTGAAGAAGTCCTGTAATTGTACTTTATACTGTCACATAAAAATAATGTTGTGATTTGTGTTTTCAAAATACAGATACAGCTCAGTATGAGAGTATGATATAGTAAGTTGTTTACAAGGGTAAAGTGCTAGGAAGGAAGATGGAGATAGCTGAGATTCTTCTTTAATGAGGTGTGGCTTACATATTCCTTTGAATAATGTATATTGTTTGCTTATGTTCTTTCATATACATGAGCTGTTTCACACCAAGATCTAGGAGTAATTGGAAGCTACTGTACTCTTGTTTTAACAACACATTTCATGTATTTTAAATGTATGGCATTATGAACCTTAAACTAGCCTGGAGAGTATAAAGCCAATTCTGACACAGTGGCTTCCTCCCCAGGCATTCCACACACTCTGTCTGCCTGTGTCTCTCAGCATCTGTGTTATGTTAAGCTCTGGTGTATTTCCCATGCACATTTCTTCATTTATTAACTTCTTAGAGGACAGAACAGTGGCACTATAGCTGTAGACAGCAGCTGGTTTCTCTGGGCAGCTTTACAGAGATATCTGCTTCCTAAATGACAGACTTTGAGGGGGTCCTCAGAGTAAAGGCACGGTGGGAGGGTGGAATAACTTACAAAATCACTTGTGCCAAGGTTAGAAGAAATTTTGTTAGTCACTCAGCCCTCTCCAGCACCTTGGAGCTAGGCATTGAGGAAAGTGACCTCTCTGTGTACAGTTGGCCTATAAGTGGAAATGTGTCTTTCTCCTCTTCCTCTCCGACAAGTAACAGCAGTTTGTGTTGTGCAACATGTTGTGCCTTTTCTGTAACTTATCACCTGTTTCCAACTTTGTTTTCCTGATACTATGGGTGTATTGCTTAGAATTCTTGATCCAGAATGCGATAGGCAGGGCAGGGATAATTGATTGCTAAGGCAGAAGATAGAAAATTCATTCCACTGTTCCTGGTTTTTGAGAAACTTGCTTTTTAAATGTGGCAGTATAACTCATGTGTCTCTTTGCTTTGAACTTAATCATTGAATTTAGCTTTTGATCATGTAATTATATTGAAGGTTAAAGGGAAGTTAGGGTTTTTTACTTGGAATATGTAGCAATATAAATAGCCAGAATATCTGTTTTTTAAAAAGGGGATGTTCTTACAATGATGCAAATAACAATTAAAGTACTTGTTAAGTTTATTTTTATTTAATCAGTTGTCAACTGCAACAGAACTGGTATGTTACAATTAATGAGCATAAAGAGACGACGTTTATGCAATGCTTGCTTTTGGGTACCAACCATGGTCTCTCAGCCAAGGCTGTATTCTCTATATTGCACCATATATTACAACCTTGTGTAGATGGTGCACATATTGCAGAATGACTGTGCTGGTGTATTGCTGGATATTTTCGCAGCAGTGCAGAGAAATGGCATGTGACATTGTGGGCTTCATTCTTTACAGGCTGACCTGAGGACTCTCTGAACTCAGTGAGACTTCCTTTCCAGTAGTCATGGCTAGGATTATATTGCTACTTAACCTGTTTTTATTAAACTATTCCCTTGCCTGCTGGAACAATTTTAAATGTAGGGTGTTGTTGTTTTGGCAATACTGTACAGACTCGTCAAAACTTTTGATACTTTTATTTTATTGCCTAACTTCTTCTGATTTGAACTGGGTTTTAGAAAGATGTATTGAAAGCTTTTGTACCCACTGTTCAACCAGAAAGGACTTGCAGATCAAGAAAACCAAACAGTTCCTGGCCTCGGACTTACAAACTACAAAAGACAGAATGTTGAAGGGATAAGGGGATGAGAAGGGAAAGAAAAACAACCCGCCAAACACCCCCCCCGAAAAAGTCTACAGACTTTCTGAAAGATTGGTTTGTTACACCTGACCTTTCTGAAGCAGCAGAAAGAGCATCTTTTTAGAAAAGCCATCGTAAGCAAGAGAGCCCCACAGAGGCAGCTGCTCTCCTCCAAATAACCTCAGCCTTTCTGCCACACACAGGGTTCCATGGCAGTTTAACCAGAAGATCTGTGTATTCGTTCAAACCTGGACAGAATTCCGTGTTGCCTGAGTTCCTGCTGTGCCATCTGTGTATTCATTCAAACCTGGACAGAATTCTTTGCTGCCTGAGTTCCTGTTTTGTGATCTGAGGGCATGGATCATCACACAATTAAACAGATATAAGATATTAGGTCTGGTAGTGAGTCGGGTTTTGTGCATTTCACCAGGATTTATTTCATTTTATTTTTAAACTGCTTGGCTTGGGAGGAATACGAGGAATGGAGAACACATCTTAATTTATCTATTAATCTCCACTGAATATGATATTGCCCTAATCAGCCACTGCCAGTAAGCCAACCCATCTTTTGGAGAGAAGAGAAGAGAGGAATGTCTGAAGGGACTAATAGTTCCAAGTTGCATGAAATGGTGACACAGTGGAGGAACTCCTCCGTGAAGAAACATTAAACCAGTCGTGTCCAACCTTGGCCCTCCAGATGTTCTTGGACTTCTACTCCCAGCCATCCTGGCCAGTAGAGGTGGTGGTGAAGGCTTCTGGGAAGTCCAGTCCAAGAACACCTGGAGGACCAAGGTTGGACACCACTGCATTAAACCATTCAAGATTTTTAGCTTCTGTCTCTTCATTCAAAGCTATGCACAATACTGTGTTAACTGAGGCACCAACTGCCTTCCACCCCTACCCAAGTCAAGCTACAGAGCAGCCCAAGCTAGCCATGTTATTTGAGTGTAGGAGGGAGAAGGTTCCACCAAGTGTCTCCTTTCCTTGCAGCAAATATGCATTAACAAGAAATTAAATACAGTAACTAACAATATTTGAGGTGGATAGAGAGGCCTGCATGCAAGGAACATTCTCCTCTTTCTTTCTTCCCTGGTTAATGATGGCTGTTTGTCTGCTGTTTCTCAAGGGGATGAAATAGAGGTGCCCGTTTTCCTCCTCCTCCTCCTTGTCTTGTGTTTGACCAGAGCAGGCAAAGCTATTGTACCAACCTATCCAGCCCCTTCAAAGGCCAGCCCAAGACACTTTGCCACCCGAGGAAGGCTGGCACTAAACAGAGTGTACAGGGGCAGGCTCAGACAGCAATGGGGTGGAGGTGGCAGGGGTCACAGTGCACCCGTTTCCTGGTTATTTGAAAGAGATTCTCAAGAGCGGGGATTCTCAAGAGGCTGAATCCCAAGTCTTAGCTAGAGTTTCTCTGCTCTCGCATGTGCACCTAGCATGACATCTTTCTCTTTTCCTCCATATTTAAAAACAACCTTTCCTCAATCTGTGGCAGCAGTCATCAGTCTTAGTCAAAAAAGAGAAAGAAAAAGGGCTGCCTTCATTCAGAGACCCTACTCCCACCCACCCCTTTTTAGGCATCAGTTGAAAGTCGGGCGCATCAGCTTGTCTGATATGACCTGAAGAGCTTGGAAAAGTTACTTTTTGCACTAGGGCTCCTTGAATCCCCTAGCTAAATGTAACCACTGGAAGTTGTTATTCTCAAAAAGAATTTGAAAAACCAATTGCAGGGTTTTCAAAGAGACACAGTGTAGTAGTGATGGGAGATTTCAATTATCCAGATACAGTATATCACAGAAGTGAGTACAGCCCCTCACATTTCATAAATATTTTAGTATATCTTTTCATGTGACAACACTGAAGAAATGACACTTGGCTACAGTGTAAAGCAGGCGGTATGCAGCTTGTGTAACAGTGTAAATGTGCTGTCCCCTCAAAATAACGCAACACACAGCCATTAATGTCTAAACCACTGGCTACAAGAGTACACCCCTAAGTGACAATGTCCAAACTGGGCACAAAGTGTCAATATTTTGTGTGGACACCATTTTTTCCAGCGCTGCCTTAACCCTCTTGGCATAGAGTTCTAGAGATTCTTGCCTTCTCATGAGGTGCATAAAGATAAATAGCCTCAGTTTCAATATTTTTGCCTCCAGAGATAGTTCAGACTTGATTTAATCTAAGATCAATTCGTTTGTCATTCTGGCAGTCCAAGGTATCCAAAAAGCTCTCCTCCAGCACCACATTTCAAATGAATCTCTTTTTTTCCTGTCAGTTTTCTTAACTGTCCAGTTTTCACATCCATATATGGTGATCAGAAATAGGATAGTGTGGAGGATCTTGGTCTTTGTCTCCAGTGACGCATCCTTACAGAACAGGTACATGTCACCAAACATTTACAATTCAAACCTTCAACTCTTGTGAGTTCCAGGTAAATATTTATTTATTTATTTTATTAGATTTATACCCCACCCATCTAGACCATGGTCTACCGTGTTTCCCCGAAAATAAGACAGGGTCTTCTATTAATTTTTGCTCCAAAAACATATTAGGGATTATTTTCAGGGGATGTTTTATTTTTTAAAGGTTCAACAATCTACATTTATTCAGATACAGTCATGTCATCTCCTTCTGGTTGCTGCACAAGGGTGGAGAGTGGGGTTTCACTTAACGAGGGCTTCTGTTTTGGGTAGGGCTTATATTACGAGCATCCTGAAAAATCCTACTAGGGCTTATTTTCAGATTAGGTCTTATTTTCCGGAAAACAGGGTATTAAAAACACAACCTGAACTAAATTTACAAGAAAGAATCTAAAACAAAATAAAAACTGGACAGCAGTAAAAGTTGTAAAGATTGTCAGGGGAGCTCAGTTGCTATAAAACAAACACACCCAAAGCCATTAAGTAGAAAGACTGATGGATTGGATTTCAGATAAAGTGACACCACAAGAAACCACGGTCTGTTTTGCTCAGACATGTTACCCCCCAAAATAATCAAGATAGCATCAAAACTGCTGCCTAACAGCATCAGAAACACACCCTCCAAGTTTAGACTTAGATCTCTCCTGACAAATCAATATGAGATTTTGCAATCATGAAGTTTAACTTCTGTGAGGACCTCCACTTCCTACACACAAAATATGTATCCTCCAACTGAAATCAGTAGAGCCCAGATGTGCTTAATGCTGGCTTGATTGCGCCCAAGTAATGGACTTTTATTTCCACATGAGGTATTCTCCCATGTTTCCTGTTTCTGCAGGAAACGATTATTCCCAGTCTTTTGGCTCTCCCTCTTGCTCTCCTTCTCCATCTCATTTCTTGTGGGTCAAAACCCAATTATGAGATGGATGGACTCCCCAAAGGAAGCCACAGGCTTGAGTTTACAGGGCTGTTGAGGACATGACATTTTGGAAATGGCTGATTCATGGGGTCACCATAAGTCAGAGTTGATTTGATAGCATGTATCAACAATAGTAAGAACAGGTTAAAAAAACACCCCCCACAGATGACTAAATTTGGGTTTAGTGTTTTTAGTTGCTGGTGCGTAGTTTAAGTCTAAAAAAAACAGATGCAGCCCGAGTACTGAGTACTGGTACCTCAAAATGCCAGATGCAGGGGAGTGGTATCAGGAGACAGGTATCTAGTTGTCTCGTGTTCCCCCAGAGGCACTGTGAGATACAGGAAGCTGGATTATGGTCCCTTGGGCTGATCCAACAGGGCACTACTTATGTTCTTATGTATTTCACAGAAAGGAACATGAGCATATTCTTCTTTCATTTTTGCAGAGCAAGATAGTATTTGCCAGGAGTAAGAAAAGAAAACACAACATACAAACTGATAAGAGAGAAAGCATTGTTTCAGATTCCACCCCTCCACCCCCATGAAACTGTCTAGAAGCATGGGAATGCATCTACTTCTTCTGTCTGCAAGCACATCTACCATTATAATTTGCATTGGCAAATTCTGTAGGTATTCAGAAAAACAAAACATGCAACTCTGGCTGTTTGTCATAACAATTCAACAGACTGTAGATGAAATTAAGGGAAGTGTGTGTGTGTGTGTGTGTGTGTGCGCACAACTCATAACTGCCCTACAGAGAAGACATAAGATGAAATTCACATTTAAATCAACTGTATGACAGAGGCAGAATTTACTGTTTGCCATACTAATTATTAAGTCAGAGCAAAATGAATCTTCCTGCTTCGACTGAAAAAGAAAGAAGCTGTTTGCAGATAAGGCTTGTATCTTGCAATCTCCCAGCCTGATTCTCAGAATGTTACCAGCATGAGGACAGACACTGTAGTTTTCAATTAGTACTTTCTTACTATTTAAAAAAAACCCCTCAAAAACAAAACAATAAAACAAATAATGAACAAACAAGCAAAAAAAAAAAAACACTAAACCAAACCAACCCCCCCAAAAAAATCTGTTAAGGAAGATGGAATAGCTGCACAGAACTTTAGGAGCCATTAATTTGGAAATACCATGAAGAAGAGAAGGGGCAGTGACAAGGTTTGATCCAACCAACCCACAGAGAGTGTGACTAGTCAGCTGAATTATCCCAGCTTGGATCAGTCTAGTAGATCATGCTACACTGGGTTGCTTTGGGGTGAATTATGTTATTTGGGGAGATTCTTGCATCCACATGCAAGGATAGTCTACAACTTCAAGAAACCCTGTTCAGCATGATCAAGGCTTCTTTTGTTGTAAAAGGGAAGCTTCCTATTTTTCAGGCTTGGTAAAAGACTTAGGCAAAGCATGGAGAAGGAAGCCATTTAAGGATCTTGAGAAAGGAGAAGCTTTCCCTTTACATCTTCCTTGCCACTCACCCTTGGAGGGGGAAAGAGGGGAAGTCCTGGGTTACAAGCCAACACAGATGAGTTAGCAACAGTTCAAAAGAAATACAAAATTTACTCTCTCGCACCCTCCAAAAGCAAGTGGCAAGGAAGCTTCCCATTTCTTGATTGTTAAGTGCATGAGCAAAAAGCCAGCCAGGCAGGCATTTTGGTTTGATCCCAAGGATCACACAGGCTGGGACCAAACCAAAATGAAGCGATTCTACTCATGCATGTATTTATTTAAAATATTTGTATCCCACCTTTCTCCTCAAAAGGATCCACTAGCATTTATGCTATCTGATGACTTGAGAAAGGGCTGAACCAGCCCCAATCCCAAGTGTGAACCAAACTGCAGGACAAATCACTGTATAGTTGCACCCTGAATGAGATGGCCTTAAAGTCACATGGAAGATGTTGTCTCATCACTACTGCTGAGGGAGAATTCAACTGTCAGTCCAATCAGGTTCTTATATGGAAGCAGGTACATCCTGTTCGTCACCTCAAGCACCCAAAAGTCTTGATAGAGCTCTTTTGTGCTTCCCCAACTGTATCCTACTCTAACCCTTTATTTTTCAGTGTGGAAATCTAGCTCAGCAATGACAAGAATTAAGAAAATAAATATTTGTGCTGCTGATCCTGGAATGGGATTAATGTAGCAGCTCACAAATCACATCAAAATCCGTAGGCAGGCAATACGTTTATTAGGACCAACCAAAATTCTACAAAAATGTGCAAGCTTTCAACATCTTTGGAACTCTTCTACTAAGAACTTGTATGTTCCTCTATAAGTATAGATTCTGTACTGTTGGGTTCCAGTATTTTTGCTGCCGTCCAGATAGTGCAAGGCTTGATCTAATGTGTTCCATATTTTCCCCCTGTCTTTTTGTGCTATTTGTTTCTGCTGAAGGAATGGTTTATTTTGTTTTGGAGTTTGTTCTGGAAGGATGGAGTTTAGCATTATGATGCATTTAATGGCAATTCCGATGTCAGAGGTTCTTAGTAGGAAGCTGTCAAGTAGCTTCAAAAATCAGCAAGGAAGTGAGTTTGTGAGAAGTTTTTCCTGTGCCCCCAAAGATTTCCTGAAGAGAAACAGTGTTTGACAGACATGGCTTCTTACTGTTCATTTGGACATGAATCCCAGTAAGTCCTGCTCTCCTGCTGAAATCAACCGCATCTGACTAGGGCAGATTTTTAACCCCCATTTGGGAAAGATCTACCCTAAGGAAGCAGATTCATGAATTGCACCAAACTTTATTTTTTTCATAAGTGGAATCCTTCAAAAAGTTATTTCTGGGATTAAATTTATAAAATACATTATAATGTTAAGCTATAAAAATAACTTTTTCGCATCTATACACATATATTAGCACATGTAATTTTATCTAGCTCAGTGCTCTCCTGTCCTTTTTCTTGGGGATGCGCGTCCTTCTTGGTTGTGTGCAAGGCCACACCTTACTTCTCGATGCAAAGAACGGTTGCGTATGTTAAATCTATTAAATTTATCTGTTTTTTTTAAAAAAAAGCAGAAGTGTCCTTCCAGAAAAAAAGGGGGGGCAAATATGGAATCAACCGTTCCTTCTTGGTTGTGTGCAAGGCCACACCCTACTTCTCCATGCAAAGAAAGGCTGGGTATGTTAAATCTATTAAATTTATCTATTTTTTTTTTAAAGCAGAAGAGTCCTTCCAGAAAAAAAAGGGGGGGGCAAATATGGAAGCAACCGTTGAGGGTTCTGGGGTAAAGAACATTTTTTAAAAAACTCTTGGCTTCTCAAATTCAAGGACTGAAAACTAGCAAACTCAATCAACCCAGGGATTCAGATTTCTGTCAAGAACTTCGCCCATTTTGGGTCTACCCAAGCGGCGCATGCGCTCACCTACAAAAACTGTGCTCCCTCTCGCACAGTTACCTTCCGCCCTCTCAAGACTCTGGCACGAATGACACGAACAAACCCCCCCTCCCCGTAAAGAGAACGAGTTCCACAGTGCGCAGGCGCGACACGTTTTTCCCTCGCTTGACCGGCTTGAACAGCCC